CTGCTAATAGCAAGGCATGATCAGAACAGTGTAAAGTGCCACCCTGGAGCACAGCTAGCCGCGGGCGTTATGGGGCTTTCCTGCCCATGGGGCTCTTGTGAGTATTCAGTGAGTTGAGATATAACAAGGGTTTAGGGCAGAGCCCATACATAGTAAACACTATTATAATATTCACTTAGCCACTTGTTATTTCCTAAGGATACTCATTTATTTTTACTTAATCTCTCCCCAGTGGATTTGAAATGCTCATAAGTAGACATTTGGTAAAACAATATATATTTTTTCTTTCTTAGTGAAGGTATGAGTTGGGGAAAGGAAATAAGAGAGAAAAGATGAAGTCAGGAGTCAGGCTCATAAGATTTTATTCAATGTGCTTATACGTGGGAAGAATGTTTCACTTTTAGGTTTCCCACTAGCCAATATACAGAAAGAAACCAACCAAATACATAAAATGATGTCTGTAAGATAAAGATAAGAAATGTACCTGTTCTTCGCACTGGGCCCAGAGAGACATACCCTCAGGAGCTACCCACCCCCTGGGCCCTCAGAAGAGAAGCCAAGGTTTGAACCCAAGCCCCTTGCATTTTTAACCTCTTGTCTTTTCCGCAGCTCAGAAAATTCTGCTCTATCTATGTGGTATACTTTCGATATTAATAACCCTTAGTTCCTAAATAATCGTAGACTGATGGTGTGGTCAGTTTAATTTTCTTCTTAATGTTCTTTTAAACCTATAACTTGATTTATATCCCATCAAAGTACTTGTTGGGCCCAGGACTGAAACTGATTATTTTCCTTGATTCTGTTTTAAGTGTACATTCAACATAGAAAGAATTTTCAAAAGGCAAAGGTAGAGGTGAAGGAAAATTGAGAAGGAGAAGGAATATAGTTTTGTTGCAGAGGCTTATATAATAGCAAACCATTTGATGACTGCATGTATCTCTCTCTGCTTCCCCCACCTCCTAGCCGGCGTCTCCCTCCCTGCTGTTGTGAGCCCATGACTAGCCCCTGTCCACTAGCCCTCTGCCCAGGGGCAACTGTTTTTAACAAGGCAGAGTCAGGAACTGCAAAATATTTCTTAGCCACAAATAATTACAGAACAAGTTTTACATGCTGAACACTGTACATGGCAAAGGGAGTTTTAAAACACTACATGTGCAAAGAACTGGTATGGGACATAACTGTGTGTGTGTATGAGAGAGAGAGAGGGAGAGAGGGAGAGAGGGAGAAGAGAGATCGAGATCCGTTCCTCCCGAGAAAGTATCTATAAGGTGGGGTTGATAGTCCTCAGCCCATCTACCTCTTCTCATGGTTGTAGTAATGTATGTGTCCTAATATATTCTGAAAATTTTTTTTTTTTGGAAATAGTATAGCTCTCTGCACTAGTATAGCAGGTCTGGTTAAATGTGCTATTGCTGCAGAGGAAAATAACACACTCTTCATGGTTAAAAGGAATTTTCAAACTACAGAGAACCTTAAGTAATACATATGAATCGGTGAGCAGTACCAAACCTAAATTAATACTACATTGTGAGCACCATGTAACCTCAGAGCTTGCTAACAACGGGCCTGATAAGTCACTCATTTATAGAATCTTGCATGTTGGAAGAGTGAAACCCAGTGTGAGTGATAAGTCTTTTTTTTTTTAATGTTTTTATTGATTTGAGAGAAAGAGAGAAACGTTGATGTGAGAGACATTGATTGGTTGCCTCCCCCACGGGGGACTGAACCCACAACTTGGGTGTATGCCCTGAGCAGGAATTAAACGAGGGACCTTTTGGTGCATGGGATGACACTCCAGCCAACTGAGCCACACTGGCCAGGGCAATGATAGCAAGTCCTAATTGATGAAAGCTGACATCTATACTGGCTGAAGGAATAAGATGTTAGAATTTTTTAGTTGTTAGGGAACTTTAAAGATTACCCAGTCTCCAGGAAAAGTCAAATGGCACTTATTTTTTAGAGCATTTTTAAATTTAAAAAAATCATCATAGTTAAAATGGTGTGTGTGTGTGAACTTGAAGGTGACTGGGTTAACTTAAGTAGGAGTTTGGATTTCTGTTAGCCAGGAAGAAACCCAGGTATTTTTCGTAGCCTGTCATTTGTTGTCAGAACCAGCTTTCCTTCACTGGAGACTGTGGAGCTGCCCTACCTGGTGTCCTCCTTAGGTCATGCAGGGGCACTGGACAGGCTGGGCCTTTATCTGCCCCATTGGATCTGCTTCAGGGCTTAATTGTGCCTGAGCCAAGATGCAAGTACATTGCCTGGGCTTCAAGCCATGCAGGTGGACCTGGTATTGCATCCTAGCGAAGAGGAATCTTGTGAAGTGGGGCAATCTTAGTGGAGCATCTTTGTGGGAGGGCTTGTGGCTTCAGAGCTGCTGGCTTCAGGGCCCTGGTGAGTATCGACAGTGGAATGTATCTCTTAGGAGAGTTTCATGAGGGCGATGGAGAGGCTCCTACTTACAAACATATCATAAACTTATCATATGCTGCTTTCGAAGTGGCCACCCCATCTGGGACTTCCTGCCTCAGCCACTGAGTCTGTAGCTGGGCCTTCCTCCCCACCCCCTCTCCTGCTCACTGCCAGACCTGGGTGTTGCCACTCGTCAGGGCCTGAGCACTGTGGCTGTACAACTGAGAACTGGACCTTCACCCTGTTCCTTCAGTTCAGGAGCCCTGGCCGGGTTAGGTTAGCCCTGCTCTCAGCTGCCCCCTGGGCCCCCCTTCTGGTGCTGTCACTTGCAACAGGAAGTAGGGAAGTCCCTCGTCCGTGTTCCCGCTGCTTGAGGCCTGAGTTAGGACTCAGATCCTTGGGGGTTTGATTCTGAAGTTCTATGACACTTAGGGGGAACAAAAGAGGAAAAACATCACTTCGACTTTATTTTTCACCTTAAGGACATATGCCCCGAAATAAAACAGACACAACTATAAAACCGAACAAATCGCCCCCACTCGTCTGTAACGTAGATACTGGCACAGCCTGGGAACCTAACTAATTATAACGTGTCTGTGGGGAAAAGCATCTGAGTCCCAAACACTGGACTTTTATAAATGAAGGTTTGTAACACTATACCCAACTTATTAACAAGGTTATAAGTAATAATTACCATTAGTAAACAATAATCTCATTAATAATTAGAATATTCCTGTGAAGCATTTAGTACAGTCCCTGGCATACAGAAACTTTTAGTAAATGTTAGCTGCTGCTGTTGCCACCAGCATTTTTAGGATAGAAAGAGCCTTACTTGTTATACTTATGCTCATATAAATGGTCTATTAGAACACACACACACACACACACAAAGTGAAGGCTGTGATTGATTCCAAACAGATGGGGAGATGAGTATTAATACTCCTGATAGAATACTTGGAAATGCTGGGAGTAATGACAGATACCCAAAAGGTATGACGGGCCTGTCACAAATAAATTTACACTTTGTGTAGAGACATAATACCAACAACAATCCTGAACCAACAACAATGAGATTACATGGAATGTCTCTGACCACAACTGGAATAGAAGCTTGTTCATTTGCTCACTCATTGAATAAGCAAACATTTATTGAGCACTTAGTATGTCCCAGGCACTGTGATGTTCAGAAAAGAGATCCTGGTGGTAGATACTCTTGAGAGGGAGGCTTCAGAGAGTAGGAGGGATTTTCAAAGAGAAATACAAGCCGTGGATAGTAAGTCCAGACCGGAGCTGCAGAAGCAAAGACAGTTTTAGAATTGGGGCAGAATGCCCTGCAGTCACAGGGAGGAAATTGTTTTGTCTTGACTTCTAACCCTTGAAGAGCATTGTAAAAATAAGCAAAACCCCCTTGGACCCTTTGATCCTAGATAACAGACTCTGTTGGAGCTAATTCACCAGCCTGCTGATAAGAGTGTATGTGTCCTCCTGGTATGTTGATGAAACAGCTTAGTCCTGGTGGCTGGGCTCTGAATGCACTCTGACCCGTGCACTCCCATTTAAGTCTACAGTGGATCCAAACAGGACACACAGGGATCAGAGGACAAGGTCCTTGTTCTCAAGGACACAAACCAGTGTCCTTGGTGAACCGAGGCTGCAAGGGGGTCACGTGTGACTCAGTGCCTTTAAGATGGAAGTGGCTGTTTATAGAAGCTACCTAGGGTGAGTACAGGGTGGGACAAAAGTAGGTTTACAGTTGTTCGTGTGAAAAGTAATACAATAATTAATAAATAGTGTAAGAATAAACTCTGCGTTTCCTGTACTCACAGCTGTAAACCTACTTTGTGCCCCACCCTGTGCTGCTGCTTTTCGTCAGCATTTTCCTCCTCTTCTGCTTAGACATTTTCTGTTACGGTTTTCTTTCTTAGAGGTTAAATTTTAATCCTGCAGCCACGTGTCCCGCCCCTTGCTTGTGTTTTCCCTGGGCTGTTGACGTAGAGGCTTTCCTTTCTGCGGCACTAAAGGGGTAAAGTCCAGTCAGCCTCTCGGGATAGTCTTGAACAGATGTTAACAAAGTTGAATGCTGAAGACCAAATTCTCTGCTTGACTCTATAATTTTATTTTTGTTTTTATAGATTTTTCTCCTGCATCTTTTCTGCATGAACCATAGTGCTGCCCTGCCCCTTCCCCATACACAAATGTTAATTTGGAAAAATTATTTAAAGGTTCAAAGGAATTTAACGAGATACAAATTCTTTTGTGAGCAGTTCATCTGTGTGAAAAAGAGGCAGCGCCATCTCCAAATTACACAGATATGCCATTAACTCCAGATACTTTTAGATGGCTTTTTCATTATCTTCTTATCAGAGTTCTTTCTCCTCCCCTGCAGAATAATTTAGCAGTTTATTTCCCCTGATAAGCAACATTCTTCTAATTTACCAAAATACATTGTATGAAACAGACTTCGATAAAAATCTGTGTGGACCGGAAAACTTTCCCTTGATCATGGGGAGGGCAGTGTGTGTGTGTTAACTCTCAACAGCCCCTGCTATGCCTGGCCTCCTTCAAAGTCTTTTGGTCTCTCATTTCAGCCACAATTACAAGTTCATCCGAAAATGATGACCGGAGTGGCTCCAGTTTGGAATGGAGTAAGGATGGAAGCCTAAGGTTAGGGGTACAGAAGGGAGTGCTTCATGATCGCAGGGCAGATAATTGCTCCCCCGTGGCAGAAGAGGAGCCTGCTGGGTCAGCAGAGAGCGTGCTGCCCAAAGCTGAAGCCCCAGTTGGAGATGGTCCGGTCCCTTATTCTCAGAGCTCCAGCTCGCTAATAATGCCACGGCCCAACTCAGTTGCAGGTAAGGCCACCCTTCTCCTTGGAAGGGCCATCTTACTGGGTCTGAGGTGCCCATGTTCACTCGGTTCACTTGGGAGTCTAATCCAGACACAAGCCGGCTTTGTGATCGTGGGCCAGACGCTTACCTTTCCTAGACCTCAGTTTATCCATGTGTAAACATGGTAAGGCTGCACTGAATGGTCTCTCAGTGATCCTACTGTTCTGGAATTCTTTAAGTCTAATATTTAGACTCTATGGCTCTTTGTCTATGAGGGAAGAATGTACCAAAAACTCTGTCCTTGTTTTTGTTATTTTAAGCCTGCCTAAGTGTATGACTTTGTATTACATCTTGGTAAGCAGGAATCACACTTCAGAGTGAGTTTGTTAATATCAGCTCAAAGAATTACTAATCCAACTTTCAAACTTAGTTTTTATCTTTGAGGCCCGTCATACAGATAGGGAGGTCAATTTCTGTATAATTCTGTTGTAAGGGATCTCACAGCTTAAAACATAAGCAGCAGAAGTGAGAGCTCTCAGTTGAGGAAATGAAAACAGGCATGATGGGGCAGCTGGAGCTAAGGACGGGATACAGGAGTGGTGACTGTTGCTACCTGACTGGTCAGTGGGTGGTTGTCAAGTAAGGAGAGTAGTTTGGGGGTGGGCGGGGAAATGAACTCTGCATCTGAGCTGACATGCCTGCTTTCAGATCCCCAGTTTCTAAACTCAGTGCCCTTGGGTTGAACTTAGAAGAGGAACTTGTGTTGGTCATTCTTTGTTACCAACACAACACTTAAAATTTCTCCTCTGCTAATGCATGGACCCAGGTTCTCTCCTCCTACATCAAAGGATTTTTCTGTGATTTATACAGCTCCTTCCAGATGTGGTAGGTCACTCTGGTGGTTATTGGGTGTGTTTTTTTGTTTTGTTTTCCAATAGAACTATGAAACAGCTGATAAATAAATTGCCCTAATGGAAAAGTTCTGAGACAACTCTAATTTGCTTTCAAAGGAAATAAAATGGCCTTGTTCCTGAAGAGGGGCTTGGCATGTCTGCCAGAGAGAAGGGTCAGAGAGCTTTATGCATATTTGAGTGATGGAGCTTCCAAAAGCTTTTGTGTCCTCCCACTACCTACGGCATAATATGTGGCACCCAAGGCATTTTAGACCAGATATACCTAGTTATGATGAGTGCTTCATTCGTATTGTCCCAGAACTTGATAGTTTTATTGACGTCAACAAAATAGCAAACTTGTATTCAGTTTCATGAAGCTATTTTAAAATTAAGAAATACATTAATTAATTCAACAGTGTTAAAAGCACCCATTTGGGGTGACGTGTTCTGCTTGATGTTCTTTTATGTGGTCTCCTGCCTTGTGAAGTGACAGTGGGTGTGAGCTGAGCTTTTCCAGGAGTCGGCAGTGATTACAGAGCAGAGCTGTCTGATTGTTGCTGTGTTCATTCATTAGCTTCTGCGTGTGCACTGGAAAGACCTCCTGTGGAATGGGAGGGATTTACACTCTCGGTTTGAGCAGTAACTGCCTGGCCTAATGGGTTTGCCCATTTCTTCTGCGTTGTAAATTTTATAAACTGAAAGCATATTTTTAAAGGAAATGGGCAAGTGCCTTACAGCATAGTATCTGTTGACAAGCTGGGCGTCTGGTAGATTTTTCATTGCCCACCTTCCTACCCTTAGAGCTGAACCTCAGTTAAGAGAGAAGGGCAAGATTTCTCAGGTATTGCAGAAAAGAATAAAAGATTCAGGTTGTCTGTTCTATATGCAACAGGGCAGTAGGCAACACTCAAGAATGACAGTGATGTGTAAGGGACCATAGACTGCAATCTCGAGGAAGTATTTGCCTGTGAGATCCATGTAAACACAAATAAATTTCCATTTGCTAGGAAACATCAAATGATTTGTTTGATGTGTATAGAGTAAGGACTGGCATGAAGGAGGAGTGATGCCGGCCTCAAGGGACCCGGTCCCCCTGGGAAGTGAGGGTGTGGAAATAGCTTCCTAAGGTTGCCAGCTCTTATTGTCACTGAGCCTGATACAAAGAACTGTGGTGGTCTGTTCACTGTTAACCATCTAGTACAGTTAAATTTTGATATCAAAGATTATAAAAATAAGTTGGCTACTTTGGAGATTGTTTCAGTACACAGAGATTTTCTTTGTAAAGGATTTGTTAGAGTGGAATTGGTTTAGAGTCCTGCAGACAGGTTATTACTATGTATCACATCAAAATGTATCACATGGACACCTTGTTCCTCTATTAATAAGGCAGAGTGAGAAGCCTTTAAGATGTTGTCTTAGATCATTTAGAAGTTGGGTAATTAGACTACTATTTTTGACTACATTTTTTTTCCCTTTTGAAATACTTCCTAAGTGGATCACAGAACACTGTTTAGTTTTCAAGGAAACAAACAAACATAATTACCAGCCAATTTTCTTAAAACTCTAACTGGTAATTGCTTGGACTTAATGGCACTTACCTTTGATAGGTTAGTTCATGATGTTTCAACAGATGTTTCTCTTTGCTCAGCTTAGAGGAGTCTTCCTCTGCTTCTCCTACTCCACCCCACCTTATCTCTCCCCTACCCCTAAAAAAATCCCTTTCCTGCAGCATATTCCAATCTACTTCTCACCCAGATGTTGGGCACAATGTGTGTGCCATAGTGTGTAATTAATTTAATTGTAGAGATATTAGCAGTAGTTTTATTGCAGCATGAAGTTACTGCTTTACCTCTGATTTTTCTTGTCCCTGAATACTGTTTAGGATTTTGAAAGCAGTTAGGGTTAAATAACAGGAGTGAGTCCGATTCTTGTACTGGTAATGTCCAGGATCTACTGTAGACATGTGTGAGAAGGCAGATAGGGGTCCATGCACCAGCTCTGCGAGGCTGGGACACCTGGACGTACAACTAGGCAGCTGAAGCTTCCCTGCTCCTACTGGCCGGTCTCTCTCTCTCTGGCTTTGACAACACTTTAGGAAAGCTGAGGTAGCCAGCCGGCAGCTGGTGGCTTGCAGCCCTGCTGAGTGGTGGTCCATTTTAATGCAGCTTAATTGTGTCTAAAGAGTCAGAGCTGTGGAGTTGCGGAGGCCACTTGTCATGTAGTTTGGAGCTGAAGTAGTGGCGACTGGAAATCTGAAAATGCATTTGAAACTTCAACTCCTGCATCTGTGTCAAACAAGGGCTGCTTTTGCAATCCTTTCTTGGGAATAATTTAGCCCTTTATAGTCTCATATTCTTAATCCTTTCAGTTGTCACAAAATTATAAACCAAATGTCATGTTTTAAGGGGTTAGAGGAAGAAAGGAAATGAGGAGCCCTTGCGAGGCTCCCAGCATCTTTGCTTTCTACAGAGCTGAGGCAACAGGCCAGACCTTTGTAATGGCTCTTCTCATTTGTGCACTGGCTCATGGGTTACACTCTTGGTTATCCCTTCGACCTCAGCCTGGGACCTGTGGGGGGCCTCATGGCAAGGCATGCCGGGGAGAGGGCCATTTGGAGAGGCTCAGGTCCCAGGCAGGAGCCTAGAAATATGTTCGAAGCTGTACTGTAGGAAGCTAGGGTGAGGGGTGTGGTCCTGGTGGCCCACACAGCCTGGTTGTGAAGGGCCTGGAGAGAAGCTAGAGGCTGCCATTGGATTCCCATCACTTAGGCCCATTTGAGGGTCCTGCATAAAGAGTTAGCAGAATCTTTCTAACAGGAAGGACTGCGTGAAGTACAAACGTGAATGCGCTCATAGTGTGTAAACGGTGTGGATACGTACCGAGGGTGCAGGAGCGCAAGTGTCTGCTCTTGTAAAATCAAGATGTCAGGAGTTTCTCCCCGGACTGGGAAGGTGAGCAGCGCACATGAGGGCCGCACTGTCACAGAGCCAGGCCACAAAGCCACTGGTGCGTTTCAGGTGAAGGAGAGGATGGTGCTAACAGTGAGGAAGGAAAGGACTGAGGCCTCAGGAGGGAAACTGGAAGGGCCCAGATCGGGCAGGTGGTGCCGGGCGACGGCTGGATGTTGTGCCAGAGCCAGAGGGTTTACAGCAGACACGTGGCCCAACTTGACTTGTGTCCCTTGAAGCTTGGTCCCACTAATGGTTTCTCCAGTCCTTAGAAGCCTGAGCCCTTGGAATGTAACTCCCTCTCCCTCCTCATATGCCCTCAGATAACATCTGTGTTTTATTACCATGTATCTAAGAGGGGCAGTGCTTTATAGGGGGCCACTTAACCCACAAACCAAATTAGGTTTAATTTTATTTAGATTTCTCTTACTGTGACCTAGGGTGTATGTGGTCATGAGAGGAGATTTTTTAAAAAGACAAAAACACACTGTACATTTGCTTCTAAGATTGGCTGAGAATGAGTGAAATTATTTTGCATTAGTTATTTTTATAATCCAACTGTGTCTCTGTTGGAATAGACCTTAATTCCTTTTTTAAAATGTACCTGTGCAATGAATCTTACTGATTTGATCAGAGGGAAATGTGATTTAGAATTTTTGAAAGTATATACATATGTAATATTATATAACATGTTACATATATATGTGTGTGTATACATATATGTATAAATTTGAAGTTAGGAATATGTTTCTTCCCAATAAAAGCCTACTTTGACTGCCAAGAGCTGACGGCCAGTGTGGTGAGCACTGCGGAATTGAACGTACAGTCCGCTCACTGAGTTAACGGGCTGCCATTCTAGCCGCAGCGGAGAGCGCCCGAGCGCCGCGCTGCACGTTTGCAGTAAGGACGGGAGCTTTGCGGCGTCACTGAGCTCGATTGTCAAACATCTTCATAAAAATGTATGGTGAAGTTTGTCTCTTTCCAGAAATCACGGAGACTTTTAGCAACCATATCAACATGATTCTCGTTCAAGAATGAGGAGCGCTTGGTTTTTTACCACTTTTTGGTTAACAACATTGCTGGAAAAATAAACTGGGTGGGCGAACAAAACCAAAATCACCTTGAAGTAAATTTTGTTGGACGCCTGAATGGAATTGCTTAATAATGTATAGCTATAGCAGTCTGGGTATGACGTTTCAACTTTGAGGAGACTCAACTTCCGTTTCGTGTTACAGCGACGAGCTCAACCAAATTGGAAGACCTGAGTTACTTAGACGGGCAGAGAAATGCTCCCCTTCGGACGTCGATCAGGTTGCCCTGGCACAGCACGGCCGGCGGCCGGGCGCAGGAAGTGAAAGGTACTTGTCCTCCATCCGCTGTCCTGGGGGGTGCCGAGCTCGCTCATGAAACATGGGAAGGCCATGGTCACCAACACTTAACCAACTGTTTTGAAACATGATGTGAAGGGGGGAAGTGTTAAGTTTGTCTGGAAGGTGTGCTAGGGGGCCATCCTTAACAATTTTAGACTTCTTAAAATATGTGTTTAACTTCCTCCTGGAGTTGAAAAATAACTGTGACATGATATTTTAAAATGAGAAGTACTTTAACACTCCCTCAATTTTGTCATCAACAAAGAATTATCAACTATGTTTTAGTTTTTTGGGCGGTATTGGCCGCCTCAAAATGCGCAGTTGTGAGCCTCGCCAAAAGGGGCAAAGCACCGTGACACCCCGGTGAGAGGTGAAGCCCTATCTCTAGGGAAAACGCATTTTCATTTTACTCGTGCACTCGTAGAAGAAATGTGTCTTAAATGCTGTTTTGAGATAAACTGGTGAGACGGTTTGGCCCTTAGAATCACTTTCTCTAATTCTCTGTGTCTGCCTTGAGTCATGAGAGTAATTTAGAGGCATAAAAGGACTGGAAAGTCATTTTAATAGGATATTTTGTAGTACCAACCGTGTATGAAAAATGAGGTACCACAGGAGTATTCATAGGATCAGCTTGGAAACACAGATCGCCTTTGGGGTAAAACTATAAGCTATAATAAGTTTAACATACATGCAGTGATAGAAAGTGAGGGTTTTTTTAGTGTATAAAATTATGACATTCTTCTAAAATAGTGATCTTTTCTCTTTTCCTAAGCACGATTTGCTCCCTACAAGCCACAAGACATTTTGTTGAAGCCCCTGTTGTTTGAAGTACCAAGCATAACAACAGACTCTGTGTTTGTGGGGAGGGATTGGCTCTTCCACCAGATCGAAGAAAACTTGAGGAACACAGAACTGACGGAAAACAGAGGAGCGGTGGTGGTTGGAAACGTGGGCTTTGGGAAGACGGCAATCATTTCTAAGTTGGTGGCACTGAGCTGCCACGGAAGCCGCATGAGGCAGATTGCTTCCAACAGCCCCAGCTCGTCACATAAAAGTATGTCCCTGTTTAACTACTTGTCTAGCTTATTATATGAATATCAGATAGATGGAGGAAATTGCTGTTTGGATAGACATAAATTCCAGATTTTCCTCAAGTTGTTCCAGCTGCCGTATCAGGTTTGCGATCAGATGCTGGAGAACCGTGTGGGTGTCCGTCTATCACAGAGCCTGCGTAGCAATGGCCCGGGGTGAGGACAGCCTCTGGTGTCCTCCCAGCTGTAGAGCCTCTTCCTTCTTTATAGGAGCAGAGATGGGGTGGTGAGGCCTGATCAAGTGCCCTGGGGAAGTTTTGGTCCTAAAACCAAAGGGGGGGGGTAGGCTCCTGGCAGAACAAGCCAGGAGTCTGTGCAGAATTCCTTTGTACCTGTGCCCTGCAGCCTTTGTCTTCTAGACTGGCTTTACAAGGGTATAAAAACCAACTTAGAAACGGGATGAACTGCTTATGGCTTATTTTACGTGCAATAAACACATTAAAAGAAAGTGTCTCTAACATAGTGAACCAGGAACAAGTGAGCCATGCAAGATTTTTTTTTTTTTAAACCAGAAATAATTTAATAAAGGAAATGAGAAACAGCAGTTCTCCAGGGAGGGCAACTGGGTTGATGGGAGATGGGGCTGAGAGGGGCTCTCATTCGCATCTTTGCTCACTCATTACCTATTAAAATGCTCTCTGTCTCTAATCAAGAAATACATTCAATATCCCACCATACATTCCCCTATTCTGATGTTGTAAACAATGGAATTGGTCTCTTGTCTCTGCAGCTTCCGATTCCTCCCCAGATCTTCCATTCACTCCGTTGCTTTCGCCAAGTACTTCTCCAGGTGGTACCAACACGGCTAAAACACCCACTGGGTCAGGGTCTGATGTTCCTGAAAACCAGAGACCAAGAGAGGATGCAGTGAAATACCTCGCCTCCAAGGTAATGTGCTCCTGGTCTATGAGAACTTCCAGAGAGAGAGTTTGGTTTCTGAAAAATGAATTGTAAAAGGGATCTTAAAATACAGACAGCAGTTGCTTAATGCAAAAGTGTAGCTGTTGATAAAATTCTGATGGAGGCTATCAAATGAAAGGTATCAATGAAAAGAAATATCTTAAGACACTGGCGGTGGACTTGTATTCATCTTAAATAATGGACTGAACACTCCTCAGTCAGCAGGAGGTATTCCTGCACTTGCCACAAATCCACCCTTACAGTTGGAACGAGAGCAGGAGACTGGGAGCCTGTAACGCGACCCCCGGGCCACCTCTGCCTACACTCTGCTGCCTGCGGCCCTTGGTTTCCGTCTTTCTGTCAGAGATTTCTTGTGATGTCGTAAAAGAGACTTGGCTGACCTTTCCTTCCTACATTCATGGTTGTCAAGATCCTCCTGAAATTTTCCATCTGCTCAGCTTCCATCGCAGGATCATAAGCCACCCTCCTGTGTTAAATCTGTTATATCTCACTCCTGGCAAGCCACTTGGGTCTCCCTGGTGTGAGACGGTGGAGCAGGGGTGGAGCAGGAGAACCACCAGGGAAGGGCAGTGATCAGGGACATCTAGTGAGGAAACCCCCAGGCCAGGAGGTAGGTCCAAGGGACTGAAACGAGTGCTGCTCTGCTCCAGATCCCTGCTCCTCACTTCTACGTTCCTCATGCCCTGACCAGTCCTCTGCTCAGGAACAGGGATCTGGAGTGAGGGTGGAGTGCAGACCACAGGGCCACCCGGCTACTGTGATTTTCCACTCCACTTTGTGACCCTCAGTAAGAAATACATCTTACACTAGAGACGACCTGGTACTCACACACATGAGCACACACACAACTGAAACAAAAACATTATAAGACTATATTTACATCCTACAATGGTCACTTTGTTAAAAAAAGAAAAGAAAAGCTGTTTGGCTCCGAATTGATGTCATGAGGCACTGTTGGGTGGCCAGACTTCATGCAGGATAGACTGTGGTCCGGCTATTTCATTGGCGCTTTGTACAAGCTCTTGGGTCCTCGTGGATTCCAGGGGATAGTGGAAGAGCAGTCATCTTTCCTCTGAGTGTTAATGATAAATTTAACTGAAACAAAAGTCACATGGAGGTTCCAAATTGGCCACATCTACTCTTGCCACTTGCTTTTTAAGAGTCTTCAGACCTGTTACCTAGTCACAGATCTTTCCTTGCTAATCTGTGTCACCCCAGCAAGGCCTTTAGCTGTGTGTCTCGCCCTCAGCTGTGAATTGAAGCTACTGGTTCGCACGTATGCCAGGGGTGTAGAGTTGTGTGGACAGTGCAGATGCAGATGCTTCTGAAAAACATAAAGCACTTTACACAAATGTGTTTTGACCTTTTTCACCTTCCTTACCTCGTACGATATTCCTTAGTTCATCCTCTTTGGGCAAAGTATCAAGTTTTCCATTTATCTGCAGTGTCCCTCTCACTCCCAAGGCAGTTCGCATCTGGCACATACTTGGGGTCTCTAACAAATACCTGCTGCCACTTCCCATCTGTCCCAACAAAGGGACCACTCGCCATCTCAGTGCTTGGGCAGGACCCTCCCTCCTTTTCTTTGTCCTTTCATGGGACAGGCAGAAATTGGGTGATTTCTGATTTTGTCACTGTTGAACTTCTCTGCGGTGTCACTTGCGGTGTGAGTATGGAGAGGGGGCTGAGGACTTGAACCTGGTCCTCCTGTCATGGGGACGAAGCAGCCGTGGCTTTCCAGCCTGGCTTTCATAACCACCGACTTGTGCTGATCTTAGTGCCAAACACGTCGCAATTTTGGCTGCAGTTAAAAGTCTGCCTAGCTCTTGGAAAACCACATGAATGAATAAAGGAATAACTGAATCAGTTAAGCTAAATATGTCTCAGTCTTGGGAAATACAAGCAGCATATTTTGTTACCTTGTGGACAAGAGAATTTCATCCCCGTGGGAGAGCGTGGAAGGAGCTGTGCAAAGAGGGTGAAGTGACGCTGACGGTCTGCTTTCCCCCCAGGTGGTGGCCTACCACTACTGCCAGGCCGACAACACCTACACATGCCTGGTGCCCGAGTTCGTGCACAGCATCGCGGCTCTGCTCTGCAGGTCCCATCAGCTGGCCGCCTACAGAGACCTGCTGATAAAGGAGCCCCAGCTGCAGAGCATGTTGAGCCTCAGATCCTGTGTGCAGGACCCCGTGGCTGCCTTCAAGAGGGGAGTGCTGGAACCGCTCACCATCCTGAGAAACGGTACCACCCAGCAGCCACCCAGAGCCCCCTCATTAGTAGCTCAGAGTCCCCAGGGCGGTCCTCAGGAGGGGGTCAGCTTGGCCCCAGGGGTGGGAGTGAGGTGGGCACAGGGAGAGGATGTGGGTGAATCTGCATCTCTCCTCCCCTTCCTCATGACCATCTCCCCCAGGTCCCTCCCAAATGGTGCAGTTTTTTAAATGAAACATCTCTAATAAGAATGAACTCCCCAGTCGAACATTTCCAAAGTAGCTAATTTGTAACTAGGTGATTTAGATGACTTACACTCTAGAAACTGTCGCCTGCATATTTTATACTCCCACATAGCAGGGGATACATCGATTGTTCAGGGAAATTGCCAGCATGTTTTGTTCAGGGCCTCTGCTCGGTTGAGTTGACCCTGAAGCCATTTCTGGAAGTCTGAGTTTGTTGCCCTTGAATATTCTACAAGGTTGGGGCAGTAGTGCTGTTATGGGCCCTTTGGTCTTTCATCTTTCCTCCGTACCTTTTTTAAAAAATGTTTATTGATTTCAGAGAGAGGAAGAGAGAGAGAGAGAGAGAGAGNTGGGGCAGTAGTGCTGTTATGGGCCCTTTGGTCTTTCATCTTTCCTTCTTACCTTTTTAAAAAAATGTTTATTGATTTCAGAGAGAGGAAGGGAAAGAAAGAGAGAGAAACATCAATGATGAGAGAGGCATTGATCGGCTGCCTCCTGCNAATTGGAGATTGAGCCCAAAACACGGGGCAAGTGCCCTGACCAGGAATTGAACTGTGACCTCCTGGTTCATAGGTTGATGCTCAACCACTGAGCCACNTTCCCCAATTGGAGATTGAGCCCTGACCAGGAATTGAGCTGTGACCTCCTGGTTCATAGGTTGATGCTCAACCACTGAGCCACACCAGCCAGCTCTCCTCACCTTCTGAGCTAGTTTATCTGCCTTCATAGCATTTCTTTCAAAAGGTGCTAGAGAGACGGAATTGAAACAGATGTTATCATTTCTCCTCAGTTCCCTGGGCAGAAAGTTGGTGCTGATAAATAGAAAACTAGATTAGGTTTGTAGGAGAGAGCCTGTTCTGGGAGTTTATAAAGCAGAGCTCTCACACCCGGCTAGCTATGTGCCTTGGGCCAGATGCTTTGCCCGTTAGGGGTCAATTTTACTTCCCAGAAATCCACTGAGGGTGTTCTGTTGGTGGGGGAGGGGGCCCTGGGGTCTTTTCCGGATTTCCTCTCTGTGTCGCCTTCACTGTGCTCACCCGGAGACAGTAGNGCGGATTTCCTCTGTGTCGCCTTCACTGTGCTCACCCGGAGACAGTAGTTTGTGAAGAGCTAACTGTATCGTATACATGGGTGAAATTCTGCTACATGTGTGTAATGTAGTGTGTTTCTGAGAACTGCGAAAAGTGGTGGTTTCTTTTTGGCTTGGTGCTCCAGTTTTCATTATAAATTTAATAGAAAATATGCTTTCGTGTAAAACAATTCTTCTGCCATATGTAAACCTTCTTAGTTTTTCCTCACACTTTGAACTGTGCATTAAGTTATACTGGGTGGTGCCATCATATAGAAATGTATAATTTCTTAATTAAAAAATACTTTGTCCTTCAGAGCAGAAAATTCCTGAAGAAGAATACATTATTTTGATAGATGGCTTAAATGAAGCTGAGTTTCATAAACCGGATTATGGAGATACGCTTTCTTCATTTATTACCAAAATCATCTCTAAGTTTCCTGCCTGGTTGAAGCTGATTGTGACTGTAAGAGCAAATTTTCAGGTAAAAAAGAATTTTCGAATCTCTTTCCAAGTCCTTGTACTCAAATTTTACGGTGATTAACACTAACAGTCTGAACTGTTGTAAACGATTTAGCTGCTGGTTTGAAAACTATATTAAGACTTTGAAATACTAGTGCATAGAGCCCCAAAGGGGTGAAACTATGACCTTTTTACCCCCCAAGGCGCATGTATCAGGATGTCAGGTAAGATTTCCATTAGCATGGAGCTGCGCTTCTGCTTCTTGGGGAGCTGCTTGAGGTGCCGGCGAACAGCTCTGTCAGAAGTTGGCGTTGTTCCTCCTAGTAGTTATTCGCATGGATATACGGTAGGACTTCTGTTGGTTTGTTTTTGTTATGTATGAAGGAAAAAGGGAGGGATGAAGAGGGGCATTTTTAAGACCTGTTCTGAAAGAAGGTCTGTTTTTTCAGAAAACTTAAATACAAGGTAACGTCTGCAGTGAGATGAAGGATATTTTTAAAAACTCTCTCCCTCACACTTCCCCTCATTTGGACCCTACAATTGTATCTCAACCACCATTGACTCCTTCCTTCTACCTTGTTTATTTTCAGTAAAGACATTAGATTTTTGCGCTTTTATGATGAAATTTATTTTAAAACAGCATTGCAGTTCTTTTCTCACTAAAAGTGGCATTAGACCTCCGTTGAACTTGATGTGTTTTTTTAATGGGAATTCGATTTGTACCCTTTTCAGTCGTGTTCTGCCCAGTAAGCAGACTCTAGCAGTTAGCGGCGCTCGGGGGCGGGAGCCCGGTGGTTTGTGCACTAGCCGTGTATGTTTTCAGAGGGTCAGTAGCACCTACGTGGCATGGGAGTAATTGTGCCTCCTGTAGTCACTACATTCGATGAGGACATGTACTTAAGTGCTTCAGAAATGATACTGGGAAGTTAAAAAAACACACACCACCCAACTCATCTCTGCTGTGAAGTGTCGGGATGCACTTACCTCAGGGATGGGGAGAGATGGGCGGGGACGTGGGGCTTCCAGGGAGCCAATGCTCTGTGGCCAACTGCTGGCTACCAGGTGTATCTGACTTTGTGAAAATAACACTGTGCAATTATGATTTGTACACTTCAGTNGATGCTCTGTGGCCAGCTGCTGGTTACCAGGTGTATCTGACTTTGTGAAAATAACACTGTGCAATTATGATTTGTACACTTCAGTATGTATTGCTTCAATTTAAAAGTTTACTGAAAGCCAGCAACTTGAGAAAGTGACAGTGGCTGTCCTCGAGCAGGGCACTTTGTGACGCAGGCTGTCACTGGCACAGCCAAGGAGGCAGTCTCAGGTTCCTGGTTTAGTCACGCAGCCCTGGCATCTGCACGGAGAGGGATGCCTCTTATCTCAGCGTCGGCCGTGTTCTTAGAAGCACAGTGGTGGCTGTGTTTGTCCCTGTTATGTTAAGGATGATGGGTATCAGGTCCCCTCAGGGCCTCGCGGCCCCCTGGCGGGTCCTGATGGGTGGCCTCATTGCTGGGGCTCTTGCATCTCGCTGGGCTCTGAGCCTCCGATCAGGGCCTTGGAAAAGCCTTTACTGATTCAATCTCACATCAGGATTTCTTTCACATAAGCTTTTTATCTTCAACTTATCCTATTACACGTTTTAATACAAAATAATGAGTCCCTGTAATCCATGAAAATCCTCCTTGAAAGAAAACTAGTGAATCTGGTTTGAAATGCAGCTGACACAAAAAAAGAAAACTCTGTGGAGTGACACTGGGTTTTTTTTGTGGTGTTTTTTTTTTTTGCAGGAAATTGTAAGTGCGCTGCCGTTTGTCAAGCTTTCCTTAGATGACTTTCCTGACAACAAGGACATTCACAGTGACCTGCATGCCTACGTCCAGCACCGGGTCCAGAGCAGCCAGGACATCCTTAGCAACATCTCCCTGAATGGCAAGGCCGACGCCGCCCTCATCGGGAAAGTGAGCAGCCACCTGGTACTGCGGAGCCTGGGCTCGTACCTGTACCTCAAGCTCACCTTAGACCTCTTCCAGAGGGGACACTTGGTCATCAAAAGTGCCAGCTACAAGGTGGTGCCCGTGTCTTTGTCTGAGCTCTACCTGCTGCAGTGCAACATGAAGTTCATGACCCAGTCCGCCTTCGAGAGGGCGCTTCCGATTTTGAACGTGGCCCTCGCATCCCTGCACCCCATGACGGACGAGCAGATCTTCCAGGCTATTAATGCCGGCCACATACAGGGGGAGCAGGGCTGGGAGGACTTTCAGCAGAGGATGGACGCCCTCTCTTGCTTCCTCATTAAGAGGCGAGACAAAACCCGCATGTTCTGCCACCCATCCTTCAGGGAGTGGCTTGTTTGGAGAGCAGACGGTGAAAACACGGCCTTCCTGTGTGAGCCCAGGTACGACAGAACGCTTCTGTCAGCTCTTTGCAGGGACTCTGATGCGCACTTGGGGAAGGACTTTCAAACAGGAATCACGTGTCTTTTCTTTAATAGAAAGGCAGCACAGAATGAAAAACTCAGGAAGGGCAATGGAAAACTCTCTCTGTTACTAATGAAAAGAGTCCTCCCTTTAATTGCTGGAATTTTAGGACTCCTCAGCACACTCGGGTGAGAGAGAAGCTAGGCGATGCCTTGTGCGATTTCTCTGCCATCCGTCTTCTAGACCCCGCCTGTTTCACCCAAGTCACCCGTATGGTGGGAGAGGGATGTCAGCTCCAGGAAACAGGGAACTTCCCTAGAAGCTGCTCCCAGCTCGGGGTCTGTGGACTGTCCTGGACCTCAGCACCCTCCCTACCTGCCATGTAGCTTGTCCCAGGGTTCAGATGTGGCTGCCTGCCCCTAGGGGAGCACAGCGACCACATCTGGCCCCCGCCTTTTGTATTTGTGGTTTAGCTTGGTGTAACAGATGGGGACTTGGGGTCGGGAGGATTGTAGTTCAGGTCTCAGGTGCCCCATATGGGATGGTGGGGCAGCTGCATCTATGGAGTCGAGGGTTCCACTGAGGATTTGCTGAGAATGGGGCCAGCATGCAGATCTCCTTACTGCCCAGGGTAGGAGGCGGTGGTGAACCTGCTGCTCTGTGGCCTAGTGCTGGTCAGGGCGTGGTCAGGAATTCGAAGGGGCAGGTGCTTTCAGGTTAGGATGTGTTCATGCCCACCACCTCTGCCTGCTCCTGGCCTGTAGCATCACTGTCTTGAAGGGCTTCTGCTCCTCTGTCAGAATTGCTCCCGACTCCTGCAACAGGTTTGGCAAGCTGCAAAACTGTCCCCTTCGGGCTGGGCTGGGCTGGGCTGGGCTGAGCATTTGATCAGATGCTGGGGTCCAGAAATGAGTAAGAACTTATACCTAACATACCACCTTCCTCCCCACGAATGTTGACAATGTTGACCTACTAGGTCTAGCTGCTGTTTCATGCTGTGATAGTGTTGTTTTCTTGGGTGACACAGGGCTAAGAATTGACTCTTTGAACTTGAGTTTGGGGGGATAAACTCTAACTTCTAGATTATTGAGTCAGACCATAATAACTAGGTAAATCCTATGTCATGACATATTTAGTCAGGTCAGGTGATTTTCTAGGAAAAGTCAGATTATTTTCTAGGAAAAGATAGGCTGTCGTTGAGTTTGTAGAGACATAAAAACAAGTAGAGCCCTGCTTGGGTGGCTCAGTTGGTTTGAGTGTCATGTCATACACCAAAAGGTTGCGGATGGATTCAGTTCCTGGTCAGGGTACATACCTAGGTTGCGAATTTGATCCCTGGTCCGGTGACATACTAGAGGCAACAGATCATTGTTTCTTTCTCACATCAGTGTTCCCCTCCCCCTTCGCCCTTCCCCCTCTCTCCCCC